CGGCCTCCCCTGCCCGCCCGGCCCCCGGCTCAGCAGCCGGTGGGAAGAAACGTGGGGTCAGGGGTGGGGGCGGTCCTTGCCCCTCACACTTTGGGGTTCCTGTGGGATGGGAAGTTCATGGCTGTCCTCTTGAGCTGTTAAGATCTGGGTGGGAGGAACATTTTTTAAAGATGTGCAGATTCTCTAAAGCAGGCAGTGGCTCCCTGGAGGGTGTGAAATGGGAGGCAGGTGCTGTTGAACTGCGGACAGGGGAACACTCTAGTACCCCCAGAGTGGATGATTTGCTCGGTCCTCTTAACGTGGACCTTAAGGCCCAGTAGCTGCTCTTTCTCCCCAGGTTAGAACGAGTCAGTTGGGTTAGGAGCTCTGCAAAGTGAAGGGAACCAAGCTTCTGGGTGGCTTCCATTTAGGGAATGGGTTGATGCTTAACGTGGGGACATCTCCAAATGCTTGATGAATGGAAGTAACTGGACAGATGTATAGTGCACATTGGCTTGCCTAATCCCAAATTCTGGCATTTATATGTGTCTCTTGCCTTTCACAGTAATCAAGATGATTACCAACTGGTTCGAAAACTTGGTCGGGGCAAGTATAGTGAAGTATTTGAGGCCATTAACATCACCAACAATGAGAGGGTGGTTGTAAAAATTCTCAAGGTGAGTGTCCTATGAGTGGCATATAACATTTTCCCCCACAGGGCAAGAGGACCAGCTATTCCAGAATGAGTAATTGAAACTCTCTCGTGTATCTCCTGGAGGATGACCCTGCAGCACCGCTACCAGTTCCCGCTAAACTTTTGAGGAAATGTGCAGGCTTGTCTGAACTCTTTGAGTCTGCTAGGCCAGGGACGTTTAAAGTGTAAACTGTGGGCTTCTCAAACAACTTGTGAGAGGGGCTGTATTTGATACAGAATTAGCTATTCACAAAAAGAAGAAAAAAGATTTTGTGTAGCGGTTCTGCTAGTCCAGGGCTCCTTCATCATTGAACTTGTTATTCTCTGCTCTGAATTACTCCAGAAAGAAAGTTGTCTGAAGGCTGGAGTCCTCTCCGAGATAAGTGTAAAGCCGAGAGTGCAGAGCACCTCCCCCAGTGGATTCTCCCCTTTCATTTCAGGTGGGCTGGATAGAGCAGGCCAGCCGGTCAAAGAGAGATTTGGGACAAAAGAGTACATTCTAGCCACTGAAATAATAACTGGGACACAACTGTCTGGATGGCAGGACTAGCCCTCTCGGGTGATAACGATAGGGCTGCTATCATTCAAATGAAGACATGGTTTTAATGAGCGTGAGGAGTCAGACAAGTTTCTGTACAGGTGATTGAAGATGAAGTGGTGTTTTATAGGTTATACGGGAAGGTAATCCTTAGGACCTGGTCAGTTCTTTATGTTGTCTGATCATTGACTGCACAAGCATGTCACCTTAGGATCTGGGCAGTTCTTCATGTTAGATCATGTTTGTGTGTCACTAGTGAAAGACAGAACACTGGAGAGCGGTGTACTTCACGTGAGCCTGGTTTTCACAGTTTCCTAGTGGAGGTTCTGTGGGACAAAAATGTGGGGTTGAAAAGTTTGTGCCGTGCTGTGGTCCCCATCTAATTGTAGCGGCGATCTTAGCACTCTGGACGTCACCTTTCAGCAAACAGCTGCTGCTCTTGCTCCTGATCAGCCTAGCCTAGTGAGTGGTAAAGCAGCAGTTTTGCTGTAAAGACAGGTGATGGTGTCTCTGCTGCTGAAACACTGGCTGAGAATCAAGTGGCAGTGTTGAAGTTCGGGAGCGTGGCCCCACTAAGTATGATTGGTACACAGAAGGTCTGTAGTTATGGAGGGGGGCGTTAAGCAGAGAAGTGTTTCTTCGAGGAACTTGCTGGAAACCATACAGTTTTATTACATACGTAAACATAAATGTTTTTAATAGAAGTTACTTCATACTCTTTTGGGTTTTCGAGACAGGGTTTCTCTATAGCTTTGGAGCCTGTTCTGACACCAGCTCTGTAGATCAGGCTGGCCTTGAACTCAAAGAGATCTGCCTACCTCTGCCTCCCAAGCGCTGGGATTAAAGGCTTGTGCCATCACCACCTGGCCAGACATTTTAATTTTAAGGACTAAGCAAAGCAAATTGTAGTTAGGAATATCTAAATATACATTTAGATGGTTGAATTGCCAAATCTAAAACAGTTTCAGGGAAATGTCTAAGTGTCTGTGCAATAGCATTTTTAGAGTAAGTGCAGTTTCGTGTGGTGTGTTTTAAAGGGAGCAGCGCTCAGGTATGTGTCTGAGTTCCAGTGTGCTTGTTAGGGAAGCGTTGTAATGTTGCCCTTCAGTCGTTCTGTTTCAGAGATTAGTTGCTTGAGAGTTTTTCCTCTGCACTAAAGAGGCTTCACGTATTTATTATATGGAAACCTGCTTCAAGTTATTTTTTACAAATGGTAGACGTAGGCACAAAGAAATGTACCTGACATCACTGTTGAGATGACTCTTCACCAGAATTCTTTCCTATTTCTTCATGCCTCTGACTGTTCATTTCAGCATTGGATTATAGGATCTTAGCACTGAACAGAGTAAATTCCAGGGTTCGAGCATGAGATTTTGATGCCCTAGTTCATGAGGTGTTTGTTTTTTCTCAGAGGGCAGCCTGAACCACCTTTTACTTCTTTGTCAAAGTCCAATGGCATTTTTATGTAGGCTTTATTTATTTATTTGAATGGTAGAGTATAAAACTACTAATATTGTAGTTTTGTTATAATGGATTTAAAGTATTATTTTTCAAAAAGAACAAGATCTTTATTCCCAAATTCTGGTTACTAACTCAAATAAATCATGACTAATACCTACTATTGTGATATTTGTGTACAGTGCAGCTGCTCAGTTTGGGATAGTCTAGGAAAGACATCCTTTTCTCAAGCCTGCTGTATTTAATCTGCAGGAAGGAACTTATGTGCACGTGGTGACTGAGACACGAGGTGTGTGTGCTCAGTGACACTTATTTCAGTCTTACTTTGTCACAACAGTTGGATGCAGAGTGATCATGGAGGACTTTTATTTCATTTAATTGTTAGACCTCTAAATATTTTATTGATCAAGGTATATTGAGACAGTTTGGGGGCTTTACAATATTGAAAAGCTGCTAGTGAAAGTTTTATAATGTAATTCTCTTAGTAGAGATTTTTTTAATTAATTGTAGGAAAGTGAACTTATGCAAGTCTAATGAATAGAGAAGTCTTGTCTTCCCCCCACCCTACCCCTGAAACAAGGTGGTGTTGTGTAGCCTGAAACTAGCTCTGTAGACCAGGTTGGCCTCGAACTCAGAGATCCATCTGCTTCTGCATCCCAAGTGCTGGGATTCAAGGATTATGCCACCACCGCCCCTTGATAAGTAATGTCTTCTATTTTTCTTTTTCTTTTTTTTTTTCAGGGTGGGAGTGTCATAAATTGTATTAAGGAGAAAGGGGGGAAATAATTTTTAAAAAGTTTATGCAACAAAGCAGAAAGTTGCTTCAGTGTCAAAAGTTTCATCTTGATCATAAGCAGTCAACTCTTCAGTTCTTTTATGGCACTTAGAAAGGTGTACACAGAAGTGAAATAAAAACATTAGTGCGCACTGCCCGTGTGTATGGATTGCAGTGCTTCCTGGGGTCCTTGAGAGCTTTCAATTAAACTACTATTTCCTGAGTAGATGTCAAGAGCAATACAATTTTTAAAAACATCCAAAGCATTTTAAACCAGTGCTGTGGTAGCTTAGAAATCCTCATATAAGGCTTCCTGGTCACAGCATTATTTTGTATTATAAACATCTTGGCTACCCATTACCCTCCTCCATCAAAATTGATTCTGGATTAAGGCAATGGTAGTATTAAAATTTGTCTTAAACATGTTTAACATGTCTGTAGGAATGTTTTGAAAATGTTGTATTGTTGGGACTGAGGTGGTTGCTCAGTTGTAGAGCACAAACCTAACAAGGTAGAGGTCCTGGACTCAGTCCTCCCCACCCTCCCCAGCCCTCCCCACTACTCCCCACTCCTCCCCCACAGCAAAGCAAAATACAACTCTGTAGACCAGGCTGGCCTTAAACTCACAGAGATCTGCCTGCCTCTGCCTCCCTGAGTGTTGGGATTAAAGGCGTGCGCCACCACTGTCTGTTAAAATTTTGTGTTCTTCAAAGGTGGCTTTAAAGGGGCTTGAGAGATGGCTCACAGCTGCCTGTAACTCTTATTCCAGGGGAACTGATGCCCTCACACAGACATACCTGCAGGCAAAATACCAATGTACATAAAATAAAAAGTGAATTGAAAAAAAGCATAGCTTTAAAAGGAAGATTAGCCTTAGTTACAACTCTTTATTAGTGATTTAGTGGTCAGCTGATGACCTTTGTTATATCCAAATAGTGGGGTCTTCATGTGATGAAATACTTCCTCCTTTGAGGTGGGTCTCGTCCTTCAGTTAAGCGTATATACCAGTCTTCCTAAAGTAGCTCTTTAGTGATGGTTTCTTTCTTTTTTTTTCTTTTGTGATTTCTAGTTTTATCAAATGTCTCATGGTATAAAGAGTAGTTTTTAAAAACAGTATTAGAGTATTAGTAACATTAAAAATAAAGTTAAAAATTATGTGTAAACTGGCCACAGTTGTTTGTAATATTGACATTATAGGGACATAGGTGGAGAGTGTGATTAATGTGTGTTAAGCAGAATCACAGATTGTACTTGCTTAGAATCTATTAGAAGCAGCAACCAGAGAAGGAATAATTTTCTTAGGGTCACCCAGTTGGTGCAGGCACTGTAAATAGGAATCTGTATGTCACAGAGGAAAGTGAGACATGTTGAGTAGTTGACTTCTTGATAATACTGAATTGTCATGGAAGAGAAGAAAGGCACTCACTGGAAGTAAAAGGGAATTTCTGATGTTTGAAGTAACTCTTCTGAAGGGAAAGGCTTAGAAGTCAGACTAGATGCAGACCCAGAGTTAAGTAGGTTCTGTGTTTGTGCCCACAGGCCATGCTTACACGTACAGCCTTGGTGCTTGCTTTGCTTTCTTGCTTTGAAACTTTAGCGATGTTTTTGTCAGTGCTTTTGGTGTGTGTGTGTGTGTGTGTGTGTGTGTTTAAATCACATTTATGTGTGTTGTCATATGTGGAACTCGAAGATGATTTGTGGGTATTGATTCTCTCCTTCCACAGTGTCTCCAGGATTGAACTCAGGTCTCTGGGTTTGACAGTTGAGACATCTTACTGCCGCCTTACAAAGTACTTTAGACCAGTGCTTCCCAATTTTCCTAATGCTGCGAGCCTTTAAGTTCCTCATGTCGGAGTGGCCCCTTTAATACAGTCTTCCCGTTGTAGTGACCCCTTTAATACAGTTCTTCCCGTTGTAGTGACCCCTTTAATACAGTCTTCCCGTTGTAGGCCCCCTTTAATATATATAGTTCCTTATGCTGTGGTGACCCCATCCATAAAATTGTTTTGTTGCTACTTCATAACTAATTTTGCTACTGTTAGAGTTGCAATGTAAATGAATTGTAAATGTCTGGTATGCAACCCCAAAATGGTCATGACCCACAGGTTGAGAAACACTGCTTTAGGCATTTTTGGCCTGTACAGTTCCTTTAAGTCTCATAGCAATTATTTCCTAGATTTCAGGGTGCGTAGTTTAATTACTTTCATATATT